GGAGAGCGACAGGACGAGGGGAAAGGGCCTCGAGTTGCGCCGGGGGAGGCTCAGGTTGGGTATGGGGAAGAATTTCTGTGCTGAAGGGGGTGTCAGGCACTGGAACAGTGGAGGGGGTTGAGTTGGTTTTAAGAGACAGTAGATCCTGTACTGAAGGACAAGGCTTAGTGGTGTTGGTAGGGCTAGGAGAGGGTTGGACTCAATCTGGAAGGTCTCCTCCAGCCAAACCTGTCCTGTGATGGTATGATAGACTGCTTTCTGCCAGGGGCATCAGGTGAGGGTGCCAACAGGGCTCCACTAGAATATTTTCTGTGATTTCATTCTGTGCTTCCCGCTACACAGTCATTAGGTGAGAGAACCAAGCAGTCGTGATTGTTCTTAACCTAAGCTAGGGCATCCTGTTCCAATAGGGGACGCTTTTAGGGGAAGAAAAGCACGTGCAAAGATGACCTGCACATCTCCTGTCCAAGAAAGGGGCCCCAAAGCTCGTCAACACAGGTATCAGTAGCTGTAATGGCTTTCAAAGAGACAAGCACTCACACACGCTATCTCTGGCTCATGCTGCAGATCAGGTCTCCCTGTGACCGCTGAACACAAATTAACAAACACTCCTATGACACTACTGACTCATTTTTCTGATGTAACAGGAAGATTTCTTTCAAAGTCTTCTTCAAGGGAACCTCAAAGTACCTGATGCACCCACGGCAGCGCTGAAAGAGGGTGGGCATTTGCTATCAGAAGAAAAGAATTCAGCAAGCCCTACACAGGTAGCCGGGACAATTTTCTGATAAGCAACGCATCTGATGCTCGTGGGAACTGCACCCGGAGCAGAGCACATCTAGCACATCTCCAGGTCAAGTGTACAGTGGTCTGCCTCCACCAGCTTAACCCGACCACACAAAGTGACCTCAGAGGCAAAAAGCAGCCTAGACGGGACAGAGGGAAAGCAACAGGTGAAATCTTGTCTCATACTTGCGTGATATCCGAGTGCTCTGGGATTTCTAATAATTCAATCTGTTGTTCCTGTGCCTGTGCAATAAAGGACTCTTTAATGTCTTCAGGTGTACAGTGGTCCAACGGGACAGGAATCACCTGGAGAGGGAGGACAACATTTCCCCAAAAAAAAACCAGAAGAAAACTCAAACCAAACCACTTGCAGAAAACAATCAGTTCATCACTGGAGCTGGTATGCTCCTCAGTAACACTCAGGATCATCAAATAAGACAGGTGAACACCTATCCGTACAGGCTTAAACTCATGAGTTGTGATTTTTTTTTTTTTTCCTGTAGGAGCTGAACAAAAAGCTGAAAACTAAAAGCTTGAAAAAGTTCTCAGCACAGCCTTCTCCTTTCTGATCTCTGTGATAGTTCAAGGCCGCTCTGATACAGTTACAGAACTGCCAAAACCAGAAACTACCACAATAAACCCCTTCTCAACACACAAGGACAAAATAAAATTAAAAAAAATAAATAAAACAAACTGAAGGGCGAGTACTGGTAGACAATGACCAGACTTCTGCATATATCTCATTTACAACTGCGAGCATCACAGTTTACGTGCCAGTGCAAGCCAGAGTCAGACAAGGTCTTGCAACTTATCTGAAAACCTTGTGGGCTTTTTAATCAGTTCCATGCAGGTAAAACTTGTAAAACCTCATCCACTCCACAGAACCTACACTGTGCTGCTGCAACAGGAAGAATAAAGGACTATGGCAGAATCAGCACACTGGTGTTATTTTTGCTCTGGCTCTATCTGTGGGTACGACGGCTTCTCTCCATGCTCCAGGAAGGTACGGAATAGAAAGGGAAATTGGAACGTTTCTCTTTCAATCCGTTTGCACAAATATGTGCAAATGTATATTCTCCCAGGGTGACACCAAAACCATACCTGTAACTGCAGGTGCTGACTCCTGTAGTTTCTTTCAAACAGGACATATCTCTTTCCTTTGCTTCTGAAAAATTCCTTTAGGGCAGACTTGTACTTGGTCACTTCTTCCACCACCTCTGGAGACAAGTCGACCACTGACTGATAGTGCCCAATAGGCAAAATCAGGACGTGGTCAGGTAACAAGCCACCTTTGGCCAGGGCGAGATAGCACTAGAGTGAAACGATACACACCAGTTACTTGCTGCAAGCAACACTTATCATGCTGTAGAAATTTATTCTCCAGCGGCTTTCGAAGTACTCCCTCCCCGTTCCTGTTTTATTAGCAATTTATTAATTTCTAGAGGAATGAGAAAGAGAGAGGGACGGACAAAGGACAAAAAAAATAAATTTTTGCAATGACAAAGAATGCCTTGTCTGCAGGAAAGCAGCTGAGTGAACTTCACCACTGTGACTAGAGTTTCTTACTACAACAAGAAAATCCAGCTGAAAATTGTCAGCAGCTTTTAAAATAAGCCTGTGGACAAACCTGTACTTAGGTCTTCTGTAAGGGAGACACAAAGAAACTGAAAATAAAACCAAGAGTCAGCTTCAAATAAAGGTTGCTTCGTTTTTAAGATTGAAAACTGGGAGATTTGTATTTTATATTGCTGTGTTTCAGCAAGGATCTGCCATCACGCAACAAAGAAGGTACTACAGGTACTTACGTGCGTGCCAATACTAACGACCAAGTGCTTCTCAACTTCTGGGCTGGCGAGGCAGAACCAGCAGGGCCCCGTGGGCTGCGCTTTGGTGGGAGAGGAAAGAGAAACTAGCGTTAGCACACGGCTTATTTATCAGAACAAGGTCTGGAAGAGCTGCTATTCTCCAGCCACCCTTCCCAGTCAATTTAGTGCTGAAGATGCCAGAAGGACTCAGCTCCTGGAAGCAGAACTCCTGCCTCTGGGAAGTTCCAGCAAGAGAGGAGGTGGTAGGAGTCCCATCCACGCTGACCACGTGAGTGCTCTCATTTAATAGAACAGCACTACTTCCAGGAATTCAGTGGTTACAGCTCACTAGGAAGAAAGCACCGATGAATTAAAACAAATAAATATGAGCTAAAATTACTGGATAAACGCTGTTAAACACACTTGTCAGTTCTGGGCTATTCATTACACTCAAAACACCTGGATTCACACACAAATTGCGATACCTGAGCTGACCTTTAATATAAGTTGATGGCACTGACAAGCTAGGCTTCTCCAACCTCTGCAGGTCGCGTGCAAGAAACAGAAAAACAGCTTTGCAAATGCAATAAACGTGACAGGGCTCTCTCAAGAACTGCAGGAAACAGAACATCCCATTCTGCAGTTTCTTCCTCAGCAAAACAGTGTAACGAGGCTGTCTTCTCACGACACCAAACTCCAGATGACTTGTTTCAGCATCAAATAACTTAGCCCACAGAACTGTTACATGCAAGGGCCGTGCAAAAGGCTTGGAAATAAATAAAACCTGAACAATTTAGTCCCACGTAACAAAGGCAACCAGACTTATCTACCAGAGGCATTTTTGAAGAATGTCTTCTAACCCACTTGAATAGCTTTTACAGAAACAGAAGGGGAAGCTGACACCTATATTTGCATTTTAAGCCGCAATTTCTTTATAACCAAGACCAACATTTCTCAATATACATGCTTGCAATAACACTGTCACTGAGAAGTCACGATCCCTCAAGGTTTCATTTCAGTTTCTTCAAGTCAGACAAACTCCAATGGGATTTACGGCACAGAAAGACGAGGTAACAGAAGCGCTTCCTCCCTGCCCAGTTCATTAATACTCTGTGACCTCACAGGCTAGAACAAGTGAAGCAGTGTTTCAAGAACACCTCAGCACCACGATCCCACCTCTTGCGGTCCCTCTGAATGGAAACATGTTGCTTGGTGAAACTGCCTGTTGCCATGTTCAGAGGCCGGTCAGGTTCAGAGGGTAAATGGCATCAGGCTAACTGCAACCACCACAGATCTAAGTAGCTTTTAAACTATGATTTTGACTTTTCTTTCACCTACTGATTGTCAGGTTTGTATGAAACAAGGGACCCTCCATTCTTCCATATTCTCACGGCATCAAGTATAGCGACAGAGCACTCTGGCAAGCTGTCATATACAGCTCAACAGCTCGAGAAAAAGGAAGAGTGAGATGGTCCAAGGCCTCATGTAAGAGGTCTGGAAAAAAGCATCCACATACTTACAGGGTTTTTTGCCTTGCTTGGGTTGGGAGTTCCCTCCCTCCTTCCCATCTGAGGGACGTTTCTTTCCCTGATGCTTTTTCAAATCGAAGAAAAACTGACAAGCTGGTTCTTCCTGTTCAGAAAAAAAAACCCCAAAGCCCATTATCATTGCATCACGGAGAGGTGGTACATAAAAGAATTTGTGCTTTTTTCCTGACACCAACAGCTGAGTGTTCAGGCCCCAGGAAGGAACAGTTCTGCCCTCAGGTGGGAGGCAATCCAGATTTAAAGGAGCACAGAGATGCTAACTTATGAAAAAAACAAGACCTGTACACAATCCTTCCTGCAGTGAGCAGGGACATACAGCTAGATCAGGATGCTCAGAGCCCTGTCCAACCAGACCTTGAATGCTTCCAGGGACGGGGCATCTACAACCTCTCTGGGCAACCCGTGCCAGCGTTTTCACCACCTTTATCGTAGCCTATCACTACAGGCCCTACTTCAAAGTCTGTCCTCATCTTTCTTAGAAGTCCCCTTTAAGTACTGAAAGGCTGCAATAAGGTCTCCCCAGAGCCTTCCCTTCTGAGGGCTGAAGAGCCCCAACTCTCTCGTAGTCTTTTCTCACACGAGAGGTGCTCCAGCCCTCTGATCGTTTTTGTGGCCCTCCTCTGGATCTGCTCCAACCTGTCCTTCCTGTACTGAGGACTCCAGAGCTGAACATGGCATTGCATGTGAGGTCTCATCAGAGCGGAGGGGCAGAATTAATTCCCTCGAGCTGCTGGCCTTCGTTCCTTCAACATGGCTCACGATCCAGCTGGCTTAAGTACAGGTAACAAACCCCCATGCGTTACATCTATAGAATTTGTTTGAGACAAAGAGCTTACACAGAACCCTGGAGTGTTTTGGACAGAAATATTCCAAGGTTAAAGCCAAACACTGTTCTAAGCTCCCCGAAGACAGAGAGTGAAACCAGAGTGTACATATCAGGGAGAAGGCAGCGGTACCTCTGCATCCACAGCTGCTTTGGTCTTCGGCGCCTCCTTCCGTGATTTTCGGTACGGATTTTCAGTGACGTCCTGTGGCTGTTTCACTAGCTCTGCAGGATCCATCGAGCTCATTGGAACAATGCTGAAGGCATAGAGATACTAGGAGAAAAAGAGATGGCTCAAACGCAAGAAGCTTTTGCCACGACTGCAACTCTGAACAGGTCAGCTGTGAACTAAGTCACCCTGAAACGGTAGCACACAAAACTCGGCACTGCAATAACTCAGCAAATTGGTGTTTAAGCTAAGGCAGGACCTGAAAAACAGCTCTCCGTGCCTGTCTCCCACCCAGTGCAAGCAAGTGGCTCACTCTTTTCTGTTTAAGAAAAGTTTATGAAAAGCAGCAGTGCATTTTACTTCCAAAAGAAACAACATTGATGTTTGCTTGTTTCCACTCTTTTTGTCCAGAACTCCTGGACAGAAGAAAGATCCAAGAGCATCAATACCTTCTTCTTGCTTGTGTTGCCAACATCAGCAAGTGCAATAAACCTGGTCACGTGCTGTGGAGTCTCCTGCAGCACTGTGTGATTTCTGTAACAAAGCAAAACATGCCTGTACTGGTGTATACAATACAGAAGAGTAGGAAAACCACATTTCCTCCATGAAGCTACTCAGACAGCATACATACATCAGCCAAACATAGTGTGGTCAAGAACAAAGAGGCCTGAGGACAGACAGACTCTCAATATGTAACAGCAAACAGCTGCACAGACCAAAATGACATCTCACTAGCCTGAAAACAGCTACATCTTCAAAGCATTTCCCATGGAAAGGATAATAATCTTACCCAACACAAACATGACAGCCTTAGTTGTAGGTTGTTCTGACACTTACCTTATGTCACTAGTCCCATTTTATATAGAGTTATGACTGAAGACACCCATCTCTTCACCACACGGGAGCTTTTCCGTGATACAGTTTTAGAGATACACCCCTGAATTACACTGAACACTTGACTAAAGGGCAACTAACTTGGCATCAGACTCACAGCAATGTACTTGGACAAATATTGTCAGCAACGGCAGTTTTTTCAATGCAGCAGGAGTTAAGAGTAATAAGATGGATTTGAAAAAGAATCTTGACCCTGTGATGGGGCTGTATGGCCTCATAAAATTATTTCAAAGTGGTTCTGCATGCATTAAAAAAAAAAAAAAAATCAAACACTTTAGAAAATAAGTCATATTTCACATGGTCTTACAAACCTGTAAGGAAGTCTTTCATAATAGGCTTTCTCCAGGGCAGCAAAGTGGTACCTTGGTTTGAGACTTGCAGCTAGATCAGATACTAACCTGGAGCCACATTTCTTAGTATCTATTTCTCCCTACAAAATACAAACCAGGTTTATTAAAAAGAAAAAACAAACACCTAACAAAACCAAATCTGCCAGATTGCAGCAAAAAGAGTTTTACACAGAATTGCATGCTTGAAACGTAGACTGACTATAGTGGTTGTCATTCCCTGGAAGTGGAACAAAGAAGTCAAAAGGGCTTGATCTCTTACCGCTAGCCAGAGCCCACTCATTTATCCCATTCTGTGTACTTGGGTTTGCACCAACTCATTTCATCGATCCAAGTCTGTCGTATTTCCCTTCTCGTGGGCTTGTACAGCCAGGGCAGCGCAGAGCGCGTTTGGCAAACGCCAACAGATGCCAAAGTCATTAAGAGAAGTTTTGACCACGTGCCCAGTGCCAAAGCTTTAGAGCACGAGTCAAGCAAATTGGAAAGCTCTACAGGTTTCCCTGGGAAGCAAAATTTTAGCCCCCTCCCATATCTGAGAGGTCAGAGCAAAACACAACCAAAGAGTAGACTTCAGACCATTTCCTGAGGCGAAGGCTCTTGTGCTGCCTTTTCCCCAGTAGCCTTAGACTGAGAAGTGAAGTAGGGAAGGAAAAGGGCAGAGTAAGAGAGGAGTTCAGAAACAGCCCACTCCTGTTACACTCTGACCGACCTGGCTGGCATCTGTCACAACCCTTTGTTGTGGCAGTGGGACAGGCACTAACACCTGCAGGAAAGTCTTCCTCTCTGTGGTCCCTCCTGCTGCCCTCACAGCGGGGACGGCAGAGGGGAACTCGGCAGTGTCTGCACTGAGGGCTGGCTGCTTCCAGCACCACTGAAAACAGCCAGAGCTACCAAACATCTCACGGGAAAACAAAACCCAGAGACTTCGCCAGGGAGTCAATTCTCAGCCAGGCAATTTAGTGCCTCACACCACCTTTGCTGAATGAGAAATATCAGGTAAGAAAGAGCAAAAGACCTAATTGTTCGCTCCTCAAACTCCCAGCTTGATTTCAGGGTCACAAGGGAATCTCCAAGACTTATTACTGCAATCCTCAGGTGATAAAGCACACACTGCGAAAAGATGCCTGACTGACATTAATATACTCCTTTGTTAATCCATATGAGTTCATTTTCCGAAAACTCACACTGAGAGAAGCCAAATGTAGAGTAATACACTGAACTACTACAGAGAACTCCCGTGGAAATTGTGAGACCCTTGTTTTCATTCCAAGCCAGAATATCGCCACGATTTGTTTCTCTCCACCTCCCTGGGCTAGTGGCATTGTTTCTTTGGGGAAGGAGATATGGTTCTTTATGCTTTTAGATGGAGGATCATATCTCCTTCTGGATGTTGGAAGATAGACACTGAGAGGAAGCAAAAAGTCCACTTCTGCCATGGTGTGTGGCCTTCCTCTCCAAGAAGGTTTCAAGATCTCCTGAACTTACATCTGGAAAACAGCTTCTGCTGAGGAGCATTAACAACAGTAAGCTGGACACAAATAGAACACCACCCTCAAAATCCAGACAGAGGAGGAACGAGTCATTTTAGTACCGCTGACTGACACTCACGGAAAGATAGACCAAAACTTTTTAAAAGTTTTGAAGTGGAAAGAATTACTTAAGGCCAAGTGGTACCAAAGATGCTTAGAGCACAGCATTCCACATCAGAGACTAGCAGATCAGATGAAAGCTACTGACTGATTTTTTTCCAGCAGGAACAGATTAAGAACACCAAAGTTTCACAAATTCCCCTCCCCACTGGTCCTTCTTCTCTGAAAAAGGAGAACATTGGCTGCCCTTTTTCTACTCTCAGTTTTCTCAAGCAGTTGGAAATGGTGTAATAGCACTCATTGCCGCAGCAAGCAGAAAGGCAATCCTTTGTTAAATCCACCTGGAAACCCCTTCTACCAGAAAACAGAACACCTACCGCACTGTTGGCGAAAGTCCCCACATCCCTGGGCCAGGGCGACGTCAGCAATATATCCACACCTTTGAAGTTTGGGGCCAATAAAGACATTTTTAATTCTGCCACATCCTTTGCGCTAAAGCTGTAGGCAGGAGTTGGCTCCTCCTGGGACTCGGTCCCGCTCAGGTAGGCGATCTGCAGTCCAGAAGTACCTGTGTAAAGACCTCGACGCCCTGCATGAATACACAGGTGTGCACGTGAGATGCAGACGTCACAAGTAACCCCTCGGTCACACCACAGGCAGAAAACCAAATCCAGCAGCCCTGCCTTACTTCCTCTAAAATCGTCCTTCCAGACAGTCCATTTTCTGTGCTAAGACACTGTTGAGGCCAACAGGATGAAGTTCAACCAGACCAAGTGCAGTGTCCTGCACCTGGGTCACAATCACCCCCGGCAGCGCT